AGCAATGAGCATATCTTTTCAGAGGTGCATTCTTTATACTAGAAAGATGATTCTTTTTGGCCAAAATCATCAATCCCTTCTCACTAATGTGACTGAGTCTCTTATACCATAATTCAACACTCTTTTCATCATTCACTATATTTATTGCAGAATCAATAATCTTTGCTTGCATCAAATACAGTGAGGTGCACTTCTCTCCCTTAGCTACAATCATTGAGCCTCTAGTAAGTTTCTATTTGCCATTGTAGAAGGTATTGCATAAATCTTCGTCGTGAAGCTTACCTGTGGAAATTAAATTCATACGAATATCAGGGATATGTTTCACATTCTTCAAAACCAGCGTAGTACCATTCTTGGTCTCCAAGTGCACATCACCAATACCAATGACTTTTGTTGATCCATCATTACCCATCCTAACACAGCCGAAATCACCAGATGTGTAGGATGTAAAGAAATCCCTCATGGATGTAGCATGAATTGACGCGCCACTATCAATCACCAAATTGCTCTGCTATGTAGCTAGATTAATAACATCACCATCAAATAAGATAAGGAAATCCTCAGTAGCTGCAACAACTCTATCTGCGTCATTACCATCATCATTTTTCTTTTCCTTACCTTTATCATTTTTATTTTCTCTCTTCGATTGTCGACAAGACTTCTTTATATGTCATTTCATGCCACAATGATAACACTCAATATTGGATAACCGGCCGCTCTTACTTTTGCTTCTATCTCTACCCTTACTAGTTTCCATTGTTCAACACAAGACCTAATTAATTTTAACCTCGCTCTGATATCACTTTGTTGGGATAAACACTTAATTTTATGGACTAATTATCCCCTCTTGTGTGAACCTAATAGGAAATAGCAAGCAAAAATAATAATTCAAACAAGCACGGGACACAAGCAATTTTAACGTGGAAAAACCCCCTCAACATGAGGAGTAAAAACCACGGACCAAAGTCAAAATCTCCACTATAATCAATAATGGGTACACCAAGTTCTCCCTAGCAACAACTAGAGGTATACAATAATAATATCTCGAAACAATAAATCTCGACAAACAAAGGGAATCAATCGGAGAAGAAAATTAGAAAGATCTCACTCGAAAGTGGCACCAACTACCCACTGTATCTGACTGTAGCCAGCTCCAAAAGAAATCTCCACCGTCCAGATTGAAGACCCTCGTGTTGTGAACACGATGTCAAAATTTCACCCCGATCGGACCACAGATCAACCTCCGATCGTGCAAGAAACGCTATTGTACGGATTCTTTTTCTTTTATAATTCTTTTCTGATTTTCCTTGTCGATCTGCCTGCAGCTTTTCCCTCTCTTTGTGTTATAGTAGACACATGTAGTTTAATATATATATATATATATATATATATATATATATATGTATATATTAAAAAACCTAAACATAATGGCCCATTTGAGCCTAAAATTGTTGGGCTTTCACATATGTGAAAAATACCAAACACGACGGACGTGATTAAAATACTCAAGAAGTGTTTGAAAGTGGAGTAGGAATTTCCGAGCCAATATAAAAGTTCATAGTGTCATTTTTTTCTCTATACTCTTTTAATTTGATCTTTACAATTCTCATTATTCTTGAACTCTATTTCTTGAAATCGAAAAGTTGGTAAGCAACGCTATTCATCCTGTTGCCATACGATCCTATAGAGTGGAGTAGCCTGGTGTTATCGAAACACTATACATTTTCATTGTCAAACATCTCTCTCTCTCTTTTTCTAAGGATCATGTCCTATTTTAGTTTAGCAATTAACTTTCTTTTATTATTTGTGATAATTATTTTTAGAACATTGTGTTGAAACTAATTGCTCTTTTATAATTATTTAGGTTGGTAGATTTAAATTTCTCATATTAGTGATCAATCTTGATATTGAACCAAATAAGGTGTTTGTGAGTGTTAGTTTTACTTTCTCACTTATTTTGAAGTGAATTTATTTATATAAAATTTACGTTGTTATTGTTTAAAATTAATCTGTTTATAGAAAAGTATTTTAATTTGATTAAATGGGTTCATCTTAAGAAGTTTATAAAATTTCATTAAACCCTATTTACCCCCTTTGCGATTACCATACCTCGAACAAGCTCGATGTTAGTTTAGCCCAATCATTATCCGAAATTAAGGAAGTTGAGCAACTGTTGAAGAAGGCCAACGAGATGATTAAGAAGCTGTAGAAGGGTGAGGCCAAAATGGCATGACTTGAACACCATCTCGCCGACTAGGGGTTCCTTGAGAAGAGGTTCAAAGGCCTTTCGAGGTACGTGGAGTTCGCCAAAGGGCTTGTAGACGATGGGTTTGACTTTGCCATTATGCTTACATCGAGAAGAACTTCCCAAAGCTCGGCTTGCAGGTGGTTCAAGTGGCTTACAACGAGGCTTGAACCTGTAGCAGAAATTGCTTACAGCAAGTGTACGAGTCAAGTTTTAATATAGATGGTAAGTGAATATCAATATCGTCATCTGGATTGGGTTTCTAGCTCATCAAGTATCACATATACACTAACTCAATTTTATTTAGAGAATCGAATCCGAATGAAAGAATAAAATCAAAGAGAATAAACACGCACTAAAATAAACATAAAACAATGGGGAAAAAGGTCGTAGGGAATTGATTTCACCTATTGGATCTATAAACTAATTAATCAATTACTCAAGATTGAACGAATTATTAATTTCTATAGGCCAAGAACTCTCAAATCTCAACTGCCTCTTCCGATCGCAAGCCAATTCTCCTTACTATTTAATAAACCAATATCCTTATCTAGTTTCTCTAACAAGTAAATGCTTTATTGATAAAGTCTTCTAATGACCTCTAAAAAACTTCTAAATCTCCCGATCTTAAAACCCTTTTAGTTATACATCCCAGTTCTAATTCTAAACAACTTCTCCTGAACGTAAGATTTCAAGTCTAAAATCAATCAATCTATGACCAGTAGATTCAAGGCATTAAGCATAGAGAAGCATAAATAGAACATTCATAAACATTCAATCAAGAAAACTAAACAATCAATGTATAAAGTTCAATAGCTATATCAATCCCTAAGAGAAGAGGTTTAACTTCTCATATTCAATGTAAAACAATAAAATCACAATGAGAAGTCCGTAATAAAACTAGAAAAATCAAGGGAAAGAAGAAGAAATTAAGTTTGGCGTGTCAATTATCCGTCCCCGAAGCGACCTCCACGATCCCGAACCTTGAAAATCTCTTTTCTAAGCTCTCCAATGGTCTCCTTGCCCTCCAAATTGGTCAAAAGAAAGCAAATTGCCAAAAAACCTCTCACAAACTCCTCCCCTCGGTAGTTGCAAAACCCTATTTTTATAAAAATCTATCATGGCAGTGCCATAGCGCTACACTATTTAAAGAATGTGAAATTAAGACTGGAGCGCTGCAGTGCTTTGGGAATAGCGCCATGACGTGTTTCCTCGGGTTTTTGGACTTGATTAAGTGTTGTAATGTCTTCTATTCGCTCAGGCTATGGTTTTACTCTCAATTTGATCAATTTATGTCTCGTTTCCTCTTGATTATTCATTCCTGCAAAAATATATCTTATGTGCATAAATAATGTCATAAAGAAACGAAAACTAACAATTAATTCCAATACAAGTCTAATGAATTGTAGCTCACAAAGTGCGCTATCAGGACTGTCCTCTCTAATGGATCTAAGGCGATTGAGAAGAACGTCCAGAGATACATCAAGAAGCTAGACATTGAGGAAGTTGCCAAGAAGGCTGATGGGACTTTGAGACTTAGGCCTCTGCCTCTTCTTCCATTAATTGCCATTCCATTCCTTTTTTACTGTTTGAATCAAACTTTTAATATCCCAAATTTTCTTGTACCTTAAGGTTTGACACATATATACCTCGGCCTTTTTTTTATCAATGAAGTTTCTTTTTGAAGTTTGTATTGCCTACAAGTATGATCTATTGAATCTTTTCTAACATAATTATTTGGGGCTTAATAGAACTAACTTAATAAGCCAACCTTTGATAATCTAAACTTATTGATAGATTACCAAATTTGATATGGGTAGTTCAAACTTCGAAACTAAATATAGCTCGCGAATTAAAGCGTTGGGTACTTGTTGGCCTCATTTGAGAATAGCTCGATGAGGATTAGCTCCAATACGGTGCTTCGATTGTACTTGTTTTTATTACTCTATGGACTGCAACTCTAAAATTTTAGATAAAAAATAAAAGTTTTATATGAAATTGAATTTGTCAAAATTAAAATTAAAATCTTTTATGTTATATATTTATTTTTTTATGTACAAAAATAAAGAAGGATAAAATAATACCTTTATTTATGTTAAAAAAAACTAAAAATATGAACAAAAAACTAATTTTTATTGTTGTTTGATCGTAATTAAAAGGGTCAAGTTTGGAAAGGTCGAATTGACTGAACCAAAGTACTTGGGACCTACAAAAGAAAGTTAGCACTTCGACGCTTTAGCCAATACATAGTCCAATCTATATTCGAGAGAGAATATATTTCACGTCTTCTATATGAGAGGTGTGACATTCTATTTAAAGAAGCGAGCTCTCGACAACCTAGGACAAAGTCGTCTTGTCGGAAAACATGTCTATTGTCTGTGCTCCCTCAGTTACTATTTAACCTCGACTTGTACCTATCGAAGGTCGATCGGAATATAGAAAACATGGTAGCTCGGACAAGGAGCATTGAGCTGAAGAAACTTGACTTTGTAGAATGATTCTCTAAAGAGCCGTCTCCTAATACAAGTGGCGGCTGATAAATTGCAACAAGTATTTTGAAAATTTATACACAATTCTAGAAAAAAATCAATCCAACCATTTACCAAATATTTATATTCCTAAAGAAATTGGAAACGAAAAATAAAAAATAAAAAACAAGAATGAGAAGAATTAGCAAAATAGGAGAATATTGAAAGCCCAGAAGAAAAGGGCAGAATGTGGGCGTGTGTGTCGCATGGCTGTCGCCATTTTCGAGAAGCGAAAGCCCAGTCCGAGTTCCCCCATGGCCATGAAATCCGTAGACAAATCCAAAGCCGAAGCAATTCAAAGGGTACCCTCTATTTCTCTTTCCCTCTCCTCTCTTTTCCTTTGGGGCTCTCTCAGTCTCTGCTGAGTGCTCACGGCGCGGGAAAAAAAAGCTCTCTTTTTCCCCCAAAACCTCCCTCCCTCCAAAATTAAACCCAACCCATCGCCATCTCTCTCTCTCTAAAACCCTAATTTCCATTTTCCACCACCCCATTTCCTCTATTTCTCCCAACCCATCTCCCCCTTTCCCGGATTGCCGCCGCTTTTGGCTGCCTTTTGTCGCCGGAGGGAGCAGAAGTGGTGGGGCCTTTTGCTCTCTCTCTCTTTGTGTTTCGTTTGTCAATGGCGGCATTACCTCTTGAGCGGCGCCTGAAGCCACCAATTATGGATGGTGAAGACGGAGACGACATCAATATCGATGTCTACAATGCCGGCACTCCGGTTCGGTACCTCTCGCTTGATCATGTCTACTCCACTACGTCTCCGTTCGTCAGTACAAGTGGGTCTTCCAATGTCATGTCCAAGAAGGTCAAGGCCCGGAGGCTTGTGGTGAATCACTTCGACGATCTTAATTTCAAGCCGCCTCGTCTTCTCCATGTCTATTCTCGCCGCCGGAAGAAGCCCCGCCATTCGCCGGTTGAGAACGTCGAATTGGGCCCTGTGAAGTCGGAAGTTCGTGAGATGGATGAGATGGTGAATGGTGATGATGAACATGCAGGCGAGTTCGAAGTTGAGAGGATGTCGCAGAAGAAGAAGAAGAAGAGGGATAAGTTTGGGTGTAATGAGCTTGTTAAATTGGAGGTTGATTCCAGTGTTATTCGTGCGATGAATGGTCCGAGGTTGAGAGACTGCCGCACCCATAACAATAACAGTAGTAATTCTGGACGGAGGAGAAAGCGCAATTCTTCTGGGATGGCTGAGAAGACTATATTCAAATCTCCTTCTAGTAAGAGATGGGTCAGGTACTGCTTTCTGATTTTCAAGCTGTAATTTAAGGCATTGGAGGGAGCAATGGCTTCTTCGGAGCCCAAATGAGTCGTCTTGATTTTTATGTAATTGTTGTTTCCTACTTGGTCTATTGTGTTTACTGGAATATCATTAATTATGAACTCACAGGTTAAGTTTTGAGGATGTCGATCCAAAAGTATATATTGGATTACAATGCAAGGCAAGTCCTGTTTATAATACAGCGTTTGATTTGGATCACCTTTATGGGTTTTAGTTGAAAATAATATGGTTCTTTGGGACCTCACAGATTTATTGGCCATTGGATGCTGATTGGTACAGTGGTCGTGTTGTGGGTTATGATTCAGAGACTAATCGTCATCATGTATGTTCTCACATATTTAATTTTTGGACCTCACAGTGGGTGTTTTGTTTGAAAAAAGTACTTTTTTTTTAACTGTGAATTATGTGTCTTCTCTTGTATTGATCGCACCAGTTGGCTTTTGGTTGTGGTGATCCTACTTATTCTTACACACAAAAATTCGATGTAGATTGAATATGAAGATGGTGACAAAGAAGATTTGATTCTTTCAAATGAGAAAGTCAAATTTTATATTTCTGGGGAAGAGATGCAGTCTTTGAACCTGAGTTTCGGTGTTGATAGTGTAGATAGTGATGCTTATGACTACAATGAAATGCTTGTGTTAGCAGCAAGCTTGGATGACTGCCTGGAACCTGAACCTGGGGATATTGTCTGGGCCAAACTTACTGGTCTGTGCTTCATCTCTTCCCTTCCCCCATTTTTCTTTTCTTTTCCCCATTCTTTTGCATGATTAGGAAGAAATTCTCCATGCACGAAAAATGAAGTAATGTGTGATATTTAAAATTAGGAAAGATAGAGAAGTCATCGTGCTAAGTTTTATTCAGAGGTTGGATTTTGTTCGACATGGGTTTAATTTTTCACATTGTAGCAAATAATGATAATTTGAAATTGAAATATTCATTGCAATTTCTGTTGTATTTAGATCAACTAAAATGCCATAGTTTGGATTGATAGCAAAGCATTATATATAAACAGTTTGGTTCCATTAAATTTTAGTTGTATTGTACCCTCACAAGTCACAAGTACTTCAATGTGATGTTAAATGGTGACATATTTCTTCAATGTGAAGTAGATGTATGCTTGAAATAAGTGGTTTGGCCTTGGAAATGCAAACTTGACACCATATGCATTTATGGTGAAGAAATAAAAATCCACTCATCCAAACATGAGAACTTACAAATATGTTCTTTAATTCTTACAATTAGGAAAAGTGGTATTGACCATGACCCAAGAGTCATAGATATCCAAAAAGGCATATACAAATTAGAGTTCTCAAACTTGGAGGCCTTTGGTAGAGTGGAAGACAGTTATTGTAAATTCATTCCTGTAGAAATTAGAGTTCAAAAGGGAGAAACCACTTTTATCGCCCAAACTGTCACCTTCAATGATTTGAGATTGCTTGTTGGAAGAATGGTTGAAATCCATGGTGGTTCATCAAGGGATGAACTTGTTAGATTTCTTAATCAGAATCAGAATGGTAAGGAAAAATGTCCTTAGTCCAATGGATATTAGAAGGTTGTAGGATTTTAGCTCCATTCCTTGTGTTTCGTAAAAGTACTGATAGGGTGGCTCAAGAAAAAAGAAGACTACGTCTTCAACAGTAAAAAGTAACTTTTGGTTGCAAGGACAATTTGCTCTCTTTGGTGGATGAACTTGGTGATGCAATAGAGGATTTCATGGTTTTGTGCAAGGAGAGCTTACTATAAAGGATGGCCCACAATGCAAAATGAAAACTTGGCTTTGTTCCTTTTCTCCCTAAAATATAGGACTCCTTTATAGGAAAGTCCTGGATTAAAACTTTCTGAAAGAAAGGCAACCGTGATTCCTCTTGGCTCTTCCTCTTCTTTACAAATTTGATCTTGTTACTCTAGATTTTATACAAGAGGACCTAATTTCAACCCCTTCCAGATATGGTGGAGATAGCAAAGATTTTAATGGTGAAGGAGAAAAGCTGTGATAATAATGGTTGAGGACCATTGTGAAAGCTCTCATAGACTCTTTAATGAAGATAACCTTGCTTTAAATGACATTGAAAATTAGAGGTGATCGAATTCACAAATTCAGGGGCAAGACCCAAACTCATCCCTGGTCATTTAGATGGAGGAACAGTTTTCAATGTTGCTTTCCAAATCAAAGTCCCTTGTCCTCTTTAGGGCGAGAGATAATAATTAATTAAAGAACAGTATACTTTATATGGGAAATATAGCCATAAATAGCCTTAAATAAACAAATTTAATACATCAAAATGTCAAGTGAGAAATTTAAAAAAGGGAAGAAAAATTAGAAAACATTAATGTTTTAAAAATAAAAAAATGAACATTAAAAAAACATTTGTACTGTTTTCCCTGAGAAAGAAGAAATAAGGAAATATAAATTATATTAAAAATAAGGAATAGCTAAGAGTCCTCTATTGATGTTAAGAATCCTCTTTTGTGAAAATAAATGACTCTTGGAGTGTAGAAAATCAAGGGGTGGGGCGGGGCTATTTCTGAATGCGTTTGGTATGAAAGCTTGAGAACTTGATTTTATTATTATTCTTTTTAAAATAAGAAATCAAGCTTTAATTGAGATAAAATTAAAGAATATACAAGGTCATACAAAAAACAAGCCTGACAAAAAAGGACCAACCTACAAAAAGGGATCACAATCCAAAAGAATAACACCTTGATAATTACAAAAAGCCTTCATAATTGACACCCATGGAGAGGTGTTAAACTGGAGGGACTAGCATTTCCACAAGGCATTAGGTGCCTGGATAAATACACCACATCCATACAAGGCCCCATTTTTAATCTCAAATTCCCTATTCCCAACCCTCACCTCCAGGGTTTTCAAAATGATATCCCAATTAATCAAGTGAGAACCTCCCCCCTCACCCACCCCCTCTCACAAGAAATCCCTTATGATATTCTCCAAGGCACTGAGATTTTGAACAGGGACATGATGTAATTTGGGATCCCTCTTAACATGGCCGCCTAAATAAGACGTCTTGAATAAGAGTGAGTCTCTCTCCTTGAGAGCCCGATATATTTGCCCATCCATCTTCTCTAAAATCAAAGGATGAACTCAAGGAAGAAAGCTAAATAAATAAATTGCTAAACTAAAATTCAAAAGTGGAAATTGAAATGTTTGGATCATCTTCTGGGATTGTCGGTATGCTTCAGAGATTTGGGATAGATTCTTGGGGACTTTTGGTATGCAGTTGGCTCGTATGAGCTCGTGCAAGCTTATGATGGAGTAGGTGTTGTTCCACTCCTTTTTCATGATAAAGGGGTGTTTTTGTGGTAAGTAGCTTTTTTTTTGCTATTTTATGGAACATTTGGTTGGAGAAAAGTTGGAGAGTGTTTAGTGACATGGAAATCTCCTGGAAGAGGTTTGGCCATTTGGGACTTGGCTAAATTCAATGCCCCCTTTTGGGTTTCTGTCAGCAAGGATTTTAGTAATTATCTCTCATTCTTTTGAACTGGAGCCCTTTTTAATTTGCTTTTCCTTTTTATTTTGGTTTGGGTGCTTTCTAGCTCCTTTTGGCTTGACTTTCCTTCTTTTGTGTTCCCTCTTGTATTATTTCATTTGTTCTCAAGGAAAGTTGTCTTTTTCATAAAAAATTGATAAAGGAAGAAGTATCATAAGTTGAAGAAAGAATAAAATTGTTGGGCTGAAATTGAAGAAGGAAGCAAAATAATTGTTCGAAGAAGGGAAATGAAAGAAATCATTTGGCAAAAACACATACCTACATGCATGTGAGGCGCTTTTGTTGCCAATGAGTGGTAAGGCGATAATAATGCAAAGATGGCGGACTCCTCATTTCTCGTAGTAAAAGTTGTTTTCTTATATAAATTGATAATTCTTATTAAGGGATGATTTATTGAGTTGAATATATTTTTATTACTTCTTTTGTTAGTTAAATGCAGGTCATGCTATGTGGCCAGCAATTATAGTGGATGAATCACTTATTGGTGATCGCAAGGGCTTAAGAAATATTTCAGGAGGAAGAACAGTCCCTGTTCAATTTTTTGGCACACACGACTTTGCCAGGTTTGTGAGATTTCTGGTATAAAATGAACTACATCTGTCTGGTAAAACTTTAAACCAGAAAATGGAGAAAAATTTAGTTTGGAATGCGAATACTGACCAGTTTCTTTATTGTACAGGATTAAAGTTAAACAGGCGATCTCATTTCTCAAAGGTCTTCTTTCTTCTTTCCACCTGAAATGCAAGAAACCACACTTCATTCGGAGCCTAGAAGAGGCAAAAATGTAATGCTATAATTGGTTTGGGTTTTTTATATATATTAAAATGATTGTTGCTCACAAGTCCCCCCATAATTGTTTATCCCAAATGACACTCATACCACTTCCTGAGCTCTCATACCACTTCCTGACTGCTCATTGTTGTTTTCGGATCAGCTCTGTCAAATTTTTGTTACCATGCTAAGTGTATTATCAGACCAACTTTACTGAGTTGGCAGATTACTATCAATATGGTTGTTTCTGCATCCCTGTAATGCAATGTTCAAATAATTACTGGGAAAGTAAATTTTCATAGTAGGGTTCTGTGCATATCTTTTCTCAATTTTAAATTCATCAGCCTCAATATTCTTTACTGACTTATGCGTTGAAGCAGGTATCTTAGTGAGCAGAAACTTCCACCAAGTATGCTACAGTTGCAAAATGGAATTGAAGTGGATGATTCTGCAAGTGCAAGTGGAGAGGAAGAAGTGACAACAGATTCAGGGGAAGAATGCCTAAATGAAGGAGGGATGCCTCGTCCACCCAATGGATATGGATCTTCTCCATTTATTGTTGGGGATTTGGAAATAGTAAGCCTTGGTAAGATTTGAATTGCAATTTTTCCTAATTTATCATTGGATAGTTTAAGATGTTGATTTTCATGCACCCATTTGGGAATAGGCCAGTATAAGATTTGAATTGCTAGTCTTCCTTAGGTTATATAGGTTAATTGCCATGTCAATTTTCTGGAAGTAAGAGAGTGATGCAGGAAAAATGATCAAATTCTTCATTTTTCTTGTGACACATCACACTTAACACACCCTTGAGGTAGATATAGTAACCTTTTGCTGTAACATAACATTAGTATTAATCTTTCTATGAGCAAACATACAAGAACAAACGAAAAAAGTTACTCCCTTTGGTAAGCCATCATAGATCTTTCTATGAGTAGTCACAGCCACAAACACATGTGAGCACCTCATAGAAAAACAAAACCAAACTTCCTTTGGGAATTTTGTTTGCCAATTCATCAATTAAGATAAATGCGTATTTTTATTTTTTGCATTATCATATTTATGAATGTGGTGGCTTTATGGCTAGTCGTCAAAGTATGTGGCATCACAAGGGCTAATTGTATTTTAAGCTTTAGCAAACTATTCAGTAGTTTTCCTCTGAGATTTTTTTTTTGTTCTCAGGGAAGATTGTCAAAGATTCTAAATATTTCCAGAATGATGGGTCTGTATGGCCTGAAGGGTATACAGCTGTGAGGAAATTTTCTTCTTTAACTGGTGGATATTTGAACTTTTGTAATTATTGTTTTTCTCTTGTGGATATTTCCAGTTTATCTTTTGACCGAAATGTTCTCTAACAACATCTTTGTCATCTCTGTTACTTGTTTCCAGATCCCAATGTCCGTACCTTATATAAAATGGAAGTTTTGAGAGACTATGAATCAAAATTTCGACCTTTATTCAGAGTAACGTTGGATAATGGAGAGCAGGTTTGCTAGTTAAATTGTATTGATATACTTGCATTTGCATGTTTAGTCTCTGTTTACTCCATTATGTGATGGCGTCTTTGGTGCTTAAAAGTTGGAACTAAACTTTTACTTTTTCTCTTGCTACCGGATAAATCTGGTTATTTATTTAAATTGGATTTTCACTGTAGAGGTTTTCCAATGGCCTTTTTTCCCATAGAAAAGATGTCAAGGTTACTAATGCAAGCCTTTTCCTCATTTGTCAACTCCTGTGTATTGGTATAGTTTAAAGGATCCTCTCCATCTGCTTGCTGGAATAAAATATACAAAAGGATGAAGAAAATACAACATACTTCTGATGCTTCTACCGAAGGTGGAGGGGAAATTGTATACAAGTCTGGTTCTGACATGTTCGGTTTCTCCAATCCAGATGTTAAGAAACTCATAAAGGTATACATCAATTTGCTTTCCCAATTCAAATTTCTTCCTCTGCCCACTTTTTTTTGGTGTTGCAATTGTATCAATTGGTGCACATGTATAATTTCTGCTTACAATTTCTTTTCCTGCAAAGAAACAATAATTTCTTTGACTGAATAGGATGACAGAGGAGGAACAACACATGCCAAGGAGTTGTAAAGCTCTCAAATTGGCAAAAATATAAATAAAGGGGTATTGGCAAAAAGAATTAGAATGAAAGCTTTAAGACGAGGCTAGACAGACTAGAAGCTTCCATATTTCATGTTCATGTCAGCTTACAGAATAAGGAATAGAAGATTGACAAAAAAGGAATAGGAGATTGATTGCTAGGCTGCATTGATCTATTAGTTAGTATTAGTTGCCAGGCATTAGTCTAGTAGTTGCTCTCTTGGAGCCTTAGTCTATTAGTTGCTTGGCTGCATTAGATTGTGATGAATCTTTATTTGTTTAATTGTGCCTTGTCTCACTCCAGCAATACTTCTGTGCCTCCCTGGAGTGTATCCTGCACTTTGAAATCACTGATTGAAATACACTGTCTTTTTCCTCATAAAAATAAATGTAACTCTTCATGAGGCCACATATGTGGATATATATCTCGGGTGAGGTGGGGGCTGTATCCATCATGTCTGAGAAAAACTTACCGCTCTCTTTTTTTTTGTGCTTGAAATAAACTATGATGTTTCAAAGTAAAATTCCTTTTTCATTTTGACAGGGGATTTCTAAATCTGGACTTTCTTCTTCCAGATCCTTGAGCAAAGTAACCTCTAAAAAATACAAAGATTTTCCCGTTGGGTATAGACCTGTTCGTGTTGATTGGAAGGACCTTGACAAGTGCAGTGTTTGTCATATGGATGAGGTGAGAGCTGGTTTCTAGGCCTCCATATTCATTTAACTCCTTTGCTTTTGTAATAAGTCATTTTATAGAATGAAAAATTTCTTAGCCACAGTAAAGTAACTAGTGGCGTTCTTTTTCTTAAATAGCCTTCTGTAATTTACCTTCATAAATGAAGTGTTCAATTCCCAATCAGTGTGTATTTTGTAGGGTTTGTTTTTTTTTTTGAGGGGGATAAATCAGCTATTGGGAAAAATATTGTATATAAATATTTGCAAATTATTTTGTATTCGTTCTATTATTCTTAGGAGGACATTCATCCTATTCATACCTTCTTTACATATTATTGGGATAAAATAAATTACTCCAGACAAACTTAGTTTTTTGTAAAATTTTGTGGTCGTTGACGGTGAATAGCCTTTAATTGGAGCACTCTTCAGAATTACTTTTGTAATATTCCTTCCTCCCTAAAGCAATTTTTTTGATAGGAAACGGGACTTTAGTATTAATCAAGAAAGAACGTTCAAGAAAAGTGGGATGAGATATCCCTTGAGCCTAGAGGATTACAAAAAAAAATTCTCAATTGGTGTAAATTTGAAAAAAACCATAATTACAAAAAGTCTTAAAGCGCGAACCATCTTGAAGAATGAATTTTGACTAAGTTCCAACAAAAATCGCTAGGCATTCACCCCTTTGAATGTCCTCACGTTCCTTTCAAGCCCCATAGAACGGCCACCACCGCATTAAACCAAAGAATTCTGGAGTTTCCTGAGCAATTTAGATTGGAGGCCATTTGTGTGATCCCTATTTGGCATAGAATCCTTGTCACTATGGCCTCTAGTTTGTTATTTTTGTTTGGGTGTCTATCCTTGTTTCTCATTATGAAAAGGAAAATAGGAAAAGCTGTTACAGGTGAATGATAGCCTTTTTTCTGGGTTGTTTCTCTTCTCCAAACTCACAACCAAAATATGCTCACCTCATCGTCTATAGCATTCCTGTATTTGAAACTTTGTTACCAAAGTCTGCTTAACACACTCCTAATTTACTCTCCTTTGTGCATTAGACCATGCTGTAGAGGTTTTTTTTTTTCTCTTTAAGCAGCCATGCTATTGAGACCGAGTAAAGGGCATGAATGGGTTTTTACCTCCCCTTGACATATATTTTTCAATTCTAAAAAACTGTCTTGTGATTGCCACCGTTAGTGCTGTATAAGTGATTTTCTAATCGAGCTTACCCTTCTTTTCAATAGGAATATGAAAATAACCTCTTCTTGCAGTGCGACAAATGCAGAATGATGGTATGTTACCCTTTTCTTTTCATAATTTTAATTCAAAATCTCATGTAAAGTGGTTTCCATTTAGGTGATTTTTTGCTCCAGGTTGCAATCAAGAATGATTTTGATCCACGAATGCGTTAAATTTAATGAAGTATAAATGTATATGTATAGCCGTAGCAATTAGTTAGAATGTCACATCTTTAATTTCACTGGTTTATGTGGATTGCATTACTTTAGCAGCATTCGTTAAATGAAATTTCTTGCACGGATTATACATCAGCTAGATTTATGAGCTGATCCGTTTCCTAGTTTCCTCTGTTCTGTACCCTTTTAATCTCTCTATCCTGCCTTAAAAAAGATATTTTCTATTTTACTTTTAGATTGTCATATTGAAGTGTAACTGGAAACTGTTAATTTGTTATATGTTAGGTTCATGCTAGGTGCTATGGAGAACTAGAACCGGTTGACGGAGTGTTATGGCTATGCAACTTGTGTCGGCCTGGATCTCCTGATTGTCCCCCACCATGCTGCCTGTGTCCTGTCATAGGTATTTGAATTCATACCATTAAAATATCATTTCTGTATATCATCCTTGTGCTGTATTGAATTGTGAATTTATATTTTCCAGGAGGTGCAATGAAGCCTACAACAGATGGACGCTGGGCTCATCTTGCTTGTGCTATTTGGATACCTGGTTTGTGAGTTTATTCTTAGGAGTTTTAGAGAATTGAAAATTATAATATGTATTTTGACTTTCCACATTCTGCAGAAACGTGTTTATCTGATATCAAGAAAATGGAGCCTATTGACGGTCTTAATAGAATCACTAAGGTACCCTCTCTTAGTTTGTTAACGTACAGATTACTTGGACTTTAGATTTCTGCACCTTTTTCCACTTAGAACATTTTAGCTGACACTTCTTAATGCAAAAGTTGGATGTGCTTTGTTTATTGCCGATGTTAAAAACCTTGATTATGCATTTGATTTATTTTGATATAAAATCGACTCATACATAGTCTTCAAATTTTTTTTTTGGCTTCCACGAATATTAATGCCAAAGAAGGATAAAGTAGTAAAAAATAGACATTCAATTGATTTGAATAATGAAAGCAAAATAATTGCAAAATTTATCTGAAATAGAAGTTCACCTAAAATGGGGAACCATGATACTATCCGAGAGAATTGAAATAGAAGTGGTTATCCTAAAAAATATGTGTACTTCTCTCTAGCCAAAGGTAATGCATGATTTCATAAGATCCTAAGACTACTCGATCATACCTTTGAAAATAAATATGAAAAACTAATCGTGCCCTATAAGCAAGAACTAAAATATTGATGTTGTTGGAGATATCAAGATCTCAATTTTACTGATACATCGATAAAATATTGATATTGACAGATTACAAATATTCCTCATTCCTGAAGGCTGAAATAAAAAAATTTTAAAAATTATTTCAATTAATAAATAAGTGCCATCACCTCCTAAATAAGTTACAAGTCTTATGATTAGTATTTATATTTATATTGATAACAAATTGTTGATATGTTTTATATTTCATTGATGTTATACATGATATTGGAGATACAGATTATCCTTAATATCGATATCGAATCCTTTGATTTATAGATATATTGATGGATATTATATTGACAGATATTTCAATCCTTTCCTATAAACTTCTTAAACCATATTTTCAGTTCATGGGTTCCCCTTGAGCTCTCGTTGAACTCCCTTCATGTTCACTAGACTGTTTGGTACAAATTTGTAGTCACTTTTGATTATTTTTGAGAAGCAGCAAATTGTAAGGTGTATAATGCACATAGAAAATGTATGTAAATGGATGAAGTATGCTTATTGATACGGAAACACTATTATCGAATTGGACGTATTTACATTTTGCTCTTGGTAAAGAACCAGGTGGATGGATATGCACAGTTTGCCTTATGCTCTGTGCTGTATAAATACCTATTATTGTCACTGTAATTTATACCTATTTTGCCGTAAAACGTTTGATCAAGTTGCATGATATATGCTTATTTTATTTTAATTTCGTAATCCTAAAATTCTTATTTGTTTATCCTCTTTTATTATAAATTTTAAAACAGGATCGTTGGAAGCTGTTATGTAGCATCTGTGGGGTCTCTTACGGAGCTTGCATTCAAGTAAGCTTGTTATTAATTTAAGCATGGGTGTGTGTGATAGTTGTGTCTTCCTGATTTGATGGGTGTGTTATAGTTTCTTTTATCTTTATGAAAAAATTATTTCGATATAATTATGTGCTTATGAAGAAGTACCTGATCCCTTCTTTACATTTATCTATATTTTTACTTTAATTGTTTCTTACTTTGTAACAGTGTTCGAACAATACTTGTTATGTAGCATATCATCCTCTTTGTGCACGAGCTGCTGGGCTTTGTGTTGAGGTATATTTTCCATCCATCATGCGTGCATTTGTTGAAGCGTTGTCAGTTATATCTATTTGTTTGATGTATTTTTTTTTCGAAGCTTGAGGAAGATGACAGGCTCCATCTACTTGCTGCGGATGAAGATGAAGAAGATCAGTGCATTCGCTTACTTTCCTTTTGCAAGAAACACAGGCCACCATCTAATGAGCGTTTAATGGCCGAGGACCGTATAGGGCAATCTGGACAACAGTGTTCTAATTATACTCCACCGTGCAATCCATCTGGTTCTGCTCGTACAGGTTTGAACACTTTTCTGTTGAAGCAAATGTGTGATAAGTTGCATGACTGTTGGAGACGGTAGATTTTTTGGACTGCATATGGATAGATTTTTGAGAGTTGAGACTGATGGATATTTTAACGTTAAAGTCAAGGTGACTGGTTTTGCCTCTTTCTCATGTGGTGCTCTTTGAACGAGAGATCAGCTACTATCTTTTTTTGGTTCATAGTAACTGGAAAGCCTTTTGTAATGTAACCTCCTTGGTACGATGGAGATAATCCTCATCCCTCTTTTCTGTAGTTCTATTTATTTAAATCAACTGTCTATTTTTTACATAATGAATGATACTTGTATTGTACTCATGATCGAGCTGGAATACAATAGGTTAGCATGGTCATCATGTTCAATTTAATTCAAAACGAGAAAAAGTAGGAACTCTACTCATCAACCTCAAGTATCAATTAGGGGGATAGTGGTTTGAAAAGATTCCACTGGCTGACCATAAGTTTAGAATAGGTGTCTCATGCATGTACCTCTGCAGTTTATTTCTTTCCCTATATCAGTTACGGTCTATCTGGCAGTATTGAATAGGTTTTGTTAGTTCACATTGAAGTTTTTTACCTTATGGATTGTCCTCTCCTTGGCAGAACCCTATAATTACTTTGGAAGAAGAGGGCGCAAGGCACCTGAAGCCCTTGCTGCTGCATCCTTGAAACGCTTGTTCGTTGAAAATCAGCCTTATATAGTGAGCGGTTATTCCCAACATTTGTTATCAGGGAACTTATTGCCTTCCACTGGAGTCCTAGGCTTGAAGTTTTCTCTTCAGAATTTGAAAACCAGTCAGCTTGATCCTCGAAACATACTTTCTGTGGCTGACAAATACAAATTTATGAGGGAGACCTTCAGGAAGAGACTTGCGTTTGGTAAGGATTAAATTGCAATAACTTTTTTTTTAATAAATTATATTTATCTTAGTGTATTAGTTTCATGTGTCTTTCTTAACCAGGAATGAGCACTAATCATTTAAATCAGGAAGTTTTCATTTCAATTCTTGAACTGATTGTTAGCAATGAGATGAGAAGTAATGAAATATTTTTATTCATGTGATTTTAAAGTAGTCTTTTAGTGGGCTGGTTGTTTCTATGGTTATGAAAGGTTTCAATGGGTTTGCCTTTGATTTTTGAAGGCTCAGTATATTATCATCCTTTCGGAGGCTTTCTATCTTGACCAAGACATGATCTATTATTTTTGAATTGTCACATGTTGTGATAATAGATCTTATAAATAAATGGTTTTCTGTTTGAAATGAAAAGTTTTATGATATTTGTGTTGTGTTCTTTACTAGTTGGGGTTATTTTATTTTTATTTTTATTATTTATTTTTGTAACTACACTGCAATTTTTAGCTCGGCTTTATTATTATAAAGTGCAGCAAGTCTGTTTTAAATTGCATTATTGGCTGAAATATCGATAATTTGAACGCTTGGAGCTTTGAGGTTATGTAAGTCAGGTGAACCTAGCTAGTTGCACTGCCATTTATTTATTTCTCAAGAGAAATCATGGTTATGTTTTTTTAATTATTTTATTATTATTTATTTCTTTAACGATCACACCTTTATGGTTATACAACACATGTTTACATGAGAATGCATTTGACGAATTTTCATATCCATCTGACTGGCTTTATTTCAATTGGAATCACTTTTGGCTCTAGGGAAGTCTGGGATTCATGGATTTGGAATCTTTGCTAAGCATCCGCACAGAGCAGGGGATATGGTAAGAAAATGTTACTCTTAGATTTTTCCTGGCTTCAGTAAGTAAATAAAATTTTATCCCTTCAGGTAATCGAATACTCCGGAGAGATTGTTAGACCTCCCATTGCTGACAGGAGAGAGCGTTTCATATATAATTTATTGGTGGTAAGTTCATTAATAATCATTTATCTGTCTGCTCACCTGTCAATAACTATAGGTTTCTATGTTATTGATTTTTATTTTTTTTATGAGAAGCCAAGCTTTCATGAGATACACGAAAGGAACTACTAGGACATACAAAAAACTAGCACATCGAGAGGAATTCGAACTAACGAAAGACTGCAATCCAAAATAATAAAACTTAATTGATAATTATAAAACAGTTTAAGCCCATAAAGAGGTCAAACGTTTTCTATGTTATTGATTCACAATCATATGTTGTCTTGATCAGTTAATGTTAAGTGGGTTGTTCTTGTTTGTGGGATAATCATCTGTCAACTCTACTCATGCATTTTTCAAATCATATCTTCTTATCTTTGTGTGATCAACTAGATTTTTTGCTTAACCTTATAAAGTAGTAGTTCCTGATGATATAAGATTGGTTGTCATCATAATTTGTTTGGTTTGCTGCCATTTAATTCATGTATAATGGTTTTTCTTTGATTTAGTTGAAGTAGAATAAAATTGTTTTTCACGATAGTATTAGTTTTGTTTCAGCTTTCTTGTAATCCGACTGTAATAGGTGTTCTTGAGTTGTAACATTGTCTAATCAGGCAAGTTTTTCTTAAGGATATTGTGGTTCTTATGATCCACTTATGAGCTGATTTAAGAGAGTAAAATCAAAGGTAGATAGATCTTCTTTTAATTGATTAGGATTTCAAATGGTGATTTGATTTTGGGCTGTGGAATCTTTTGAAAATATAGTTTTAAATTGGTTTTCTGGATGGAAGTGAATTGTGGGTTTGTTGAATTTTGTAAATTTAAGAGCGTTCCTATATGTATCCTTCGTCAGATTTTTGCCTTCTTCCACTGTTTAAAACAGACTTTGAAAAGTTAACTGAGTTCCATTTATTTCAGGGGGCTGGCACTTACATGTTTAGAATTGATGATGAACGAGTAATTGATGCTACAAGGGCCGGAAGCATCGCTCATCTGATCAACCACTCTTGTGAGGTTTGTATTACTTTCTTTAGTTATTTCATTTATTTTTCCTTTTGGCCTTCAAACTTGATCGCATTCTTTATCTTTATGAAATGACCTAATGAATAGATGCCTACAATTACCTTATACCTGCAGTGTTTTTTTGAAGATCGAATGCAAGTAGCCAAGACCCCGGCATGCCGTTTGATAATGGATTTGTTTTTAGTTTTCTATTTTAAAACAAGGGCTTGTTTCTTCCCAATTTCTTTGGCATGTTTTTCACCTGTCTTAAAAACATATTTCACTTTCTTAGCCTCAAAAACAAGTTTTTAAAACTACTTTTTTCCTTTTTCCATTTTAAAAAATTTGGTTTAGATTTTGGAAACGGTTTTAAAAAGTAGATAAGAAAACAAACACGAGCGGTAGTGTTTATACATTTAATTTTTGAAAATTAAAAACAAAAAACAAAATGATTATCAAATGGGCCATAACATTTTGGAGGCTTGGCAAGAGAAACTTAAAACTGCCTCCCTTTTTTTACTCAACTGACCAAGCTGCCTTAAGTGTTGCTCTCTTGGGAATTATATTAGGAAAAAGCAAACTTCATGTAAGAAGAGGAAGGTTGTTTTTGTATCATTCAAGGATGGTATAATTGGGTGCTCTGTGAAGTGCTTAGGTTTAATTTTGACCCATAAAATGTTTTCATATAAATATTTCTCCCTCCTTTCAACCAATGAATCACGTTTATTCTTATTTTCATTCTTTCGATATTTGGGAGTGTCTGATCCAGTTTGCGCACTTGACTATTTCCATTGGACAATTTCCTAACCCTACATCTTGTTGTCAAGAAATTCATTGGATATTAGACTTTAGGTAGATGACCACCATGTTTGAACTCACTCTCTCTAAAGTCCTTTTCTATTTACCTCAGCCCTTTTCTATTTACCACTATGCCAACCAATGATGATTATGAATCAAGTTTATTACTGAATTTATAATGCAGTTGCCTCAGATAGACAAACTTCATTCGTACACCAAAATTGCTACCAATGCAAACTGTCAAACTGAAACCGTTGACAAATCATGAAGAGCAAAAAAGAACCAGTTGCATAATAACACAATGCTAAAATCTAGATGAATGGTGGGGATTGAGAGAATTGTTGTCCTAAAGAAAAGATATTTTACTCTTGAGTGGGGCCTAATGAACCTAGTGAAGGCTTGTATTTTCCAGGAAACTAGACTTTCAGGTCTCATTCACTAGGAAGATTAAACTGCATCCCTGTTTTCAGTTACAGTTTGTTTTCATCTATGAACTTCTATGTTATCAATTGTTAAAGGATCTCAAAGAAAGTTATGCTATGATCATCATTGAAATATCTTGTATGTGCCATTGTCAATTGTTTTTAAATTGGTTTCTCCTTTTTTTTGTTTTGTTGGTCCGTTTCCATTCCTTCAGAACAAGAGATTCCCATTGATTATTAACATTAATGTTTCCTTCATGCAGCCAAATTGCTACTCAAGAGTTATAAGTGTCAATGGAGATGAACACATAATAATCTTTGCGAAGAGAGACATTAAGCGATGGGAAGAACTTACATACGATTATAGGTTATGCTCAAACTTAGTGATTATAACTTATTTTCTGTCATTCTTTACATGCTGACATTTCAATATGCATTCAGATTTTTTTCCATTGATGAACAACTAGCATGTTACTGTGGATTTCCTAGATGTCGGGGTGTTGTCAATGATATGGAAGAAGAAGAGCGAGTTGCAAAGCTTTACGTATCTCGAACGGATTTAGTAGATTGGAGAGGAGAATGAGGCAGGTCAGCAAAACTATAGTTTCTCATTTGATGTCTGTTTTCTTCTTACTCTTGAAAATGCACGTTTGCTTGGTAGACAACCATTTATGCTAGAACAGCTGAATTTGCCTTTGTTCTTTGGTCTGTTTCGTTGGCTGATTGTTCTCTATTTTTCTTGGGCAGAACTACCATATAAAGTTTGCCCATGGAAGCTCACCTCCAGCAAGTTTGCCCGTGACCTTGCCATTTTCGTGACATTTTGCACTGGGAATCGGTTTTCGAGTTCTGGTTGCACAACTCAACGATGTCAAATCAGGCAATCTTCTATCAAAAAAATCACCCAATTTTTTTTTCAATATCATATTTCTTCTTTGTACGAACATAACTTGTGAGAGATGTTGAGTTTAGCAGTCGTAAATTTACGATATTAGCAGCATGCGTCAATAGGAAAGGTTATTCTTAGTGTGGTTAAGATGGGTCCATTGCCCTTGGTTTTGTAGATTTGCCAAAGTGCTTCCATTGTTAACCATTAATCTTCTGTACAGAATACTCTCAAAGTAATGGAAAATAATTGTTCTAAAGCTTTCTTGTTATGCCTTTTTCCCACCATTTCCCACATAATTACTTCATGAAGTGAGCCAAAAAACAGGAATAATTTGGAGTTCCATTATGATCTAGACTTTTTTTGGGGCTATTCTGATTAGATTTGAACCACTACAAATAATTGTTATGCCTTTCTATTAGTGAACCATTACTTTACCTATAACTTCCCTTAGATAATGCTTCTGTTTTTATTCTAAATGTCTGTTTTTCATAATATTGCTCGTGAAGATTTGAACTTCCGAACCATGACAGAGGTTATTATCTTTAACTAGTTAGTCAACTAGATTTTAGTACTAGAGTTTAATGTTGAATGGTATTAGTACTTGCGACGGTATGTAGAGTGATATTAGGTCATGTTTGGGTTTCGATTTCGTGATAATATGAAATTGGGATTGGTTTCTTATTTTTGTAAAGTTATAAAGGAATTGTGATATGTACAATTTTTGTAATGTTATTTTTAAAATCACCACAATCTTTTAGTAGTGCAAATAATTTGGTACATAATAATTTATGGTTGCAAAAAGTATTGGATCTTTATGAAGAGGGAAAAGAAAAAATGAACAATCAAAGGAGTGACCCACAAAATTCAAAGCTTAAACCTCACTTTATTTCAAACTAAGAGCTAAAATAGAACTTCCTTCCTCTTCACTCTGATATTGATTCAATGTTTGTTGGTTTGATTGAGTCTAGATTAAGGGAAAAAGCATATCTTTCACCATCAATATGAATTGAAGCAAGTGAAAAGAAACCATTGTTGGCTTGGTCTTCAAGAGTGGCAAAAAGGCGAGCCCCTACTTTGATGTTAACATTTCTTGGCCCATAGGCCCAACCCTAAACCCAAAATAAGAGAGAGCGGAAGAATTTGGTTAAATTACAAGTTTAGTCCCTCAACATTTAAAATTGTGTCTGGTAGATTATTGAACTTTAAAAAGAGTAAGTCCTCAAATTTTTAATGGTCTAAATCCGAAAAATTAGACCTTCAATCAATAAGGGAGACAGGAAAAGAGTTTGGAACTTTCACGGCTGTGTCTAATAGGTTCTCAAACTTTAAAAAGTGTCTAATAAATCTCCAAATTTTTTTAATTTTGTGTCTAATAAATCTTTGAACTTTAAAAATGTTTAATGAGTTCTTAAACATTCACTTTTGTATTTACTAGACTCTTGAATTTTAAAAGTGTCTAATATAGATCCTTGAAACTTTCAATTTTGTGTTTTTGACTATTACTTTTTGATTTCATGTCTGATAGTTAAAAAATCCTGTTAGACACAAAATTGAAAGATTGTGATCTTATTAGATACAAAATTGAAAGTTCAAAAACTCTATTTTTTTTAAACTAAAGTTTTATTAGACACAACTTTGAAAGTTCAGAGACTAAACTTGCAATTCAACTAAGATGTTTGAGAGAGAGATAATATTAGGTTGAAATTTGCACTGTTGAACTAACTATCTAACTAATACCCACCCCCATAATTGAAGATTCTCTTTGCCCATCTCTGTCCTCATAGTACCAAACTTTTGGAGTAGGTCCTTGTATTTTCCACATGTAAATCATTCTATCTTGCTTCTAAAGCCAGCTTTTGGTAACATAACAAACCCCATTTTTTCCATTTTCATATCCTTAACTACAAGAGCTAACCTCATCATTTTGTTCTCAAGATTCTTTCTTTGCATTTAACCACTCCTCCCTTTCCCTTGTCGAAAAACATGAGACGCGTCGGGAAATTCGCATCTCTTCCCTTCTTCTCCGGTTGCGCTTCTCGCTCCAGTGTCGCAACGAGCACGCCTGTTTCCACGACTCAAACCCGAGAGCTTAAAGTTTCTGAAGAAATAAACCCAAGTGTAGCAAGTAAGACCAATGATATTTCTATTTTTTGCCCCCAAATCTCTTTGATTATCTACCATTAATTTTGGTTTTTTCTTCCAATAAAACAGTATTGGTTTTCATTGTTAGGAAGAGAAGAAAGTGAGAATAGAGCTTCTGAGGAGAAAATGAAGAGCAATTCTTCTGGGTTCTTAGTTGTTCTGCCTAACGTATCAATTGGAGTTCATAAGTTGGTCAGAAGCCTCAAAACTTTCTCCCAATTATTTGGTAAGCAAAAATTTTCTTTGTGCCATGATTATATGTTTATTTGCACTCTCATTTCTCATTGATTGGCTTCAATTTTCTTAACTTATGAAAAATGTATAGGAATTAATTTATATATATACAGAATTTATTGTTTAAATAAGAGGGCGGAGATTCGAAGTTTTGCAACTTGTAAGGAAGACTATTACACATGCTAGAGTTGCCTAAATAAGAATTGTTGTTTAAATCATAGTATATGATTGATGCTAAAGATTGCAAATATATCAAGTTAAAGTATACCTATAAACGTCATTTTTGGTACCAATACTTTTAAAAAGTGACCATTTTAGTTCATATTTGCAAAAACTTAACATAAATTCTATACACAATTCTATACACAATAGAAACATGTTAATACAAAGTTATGACTGTATTTCAAGAAATTTATCAAGTGTAGTGTCGTGTTGAAATTGTGATCGGAAAAAATAAGATAAAAAGTAAAATGTATGGACAAAAATAATTAATTTTTAAAAGTACATGGACCAAAATAGACGATTTTGAAAGTACCCGAACTAAAATGGACATAAGATAAAACTATATGAACTAAAATAAACATTTTGAAAATACAACGACCAAAATAAACCAAAGTTGAAAGTAAAAGGACAAAAATGATATTTAAACTTTTTTTCAGTACAAAAATACTCGGTGTGGAATTGAAATCTCCAACGTCATGGAATGAGTATATATTTTTTGAGTTATGCTCATGTTAGTCGTTCTACTGAATAACTTCATTGAAAATTGGACAATGATTTCTACTGACTTTAATGTGGCACTTTTTTGAAAGTTAAAAATATATTCATCTCATTCAAGCTAATCAAATAACACTCGACTGATCTTACTTGAATAAAACACACACTCAATAGAAACTTTTCATAGGAATTTAATTGATATATACATGTATATTTTTTGATATCTTAAGAATAAAATTGAAACTTTTCAAAAGGTTATGAATGACAATTGAAAAACATTGGATATTTACCAGACCAAATGATATGTTTTATGAATCTATACAAAAACAAGTAATTTTTAAATAAGAAGAGTGTGAATATAGAAAACAAAGTTGTTGGTCTACCATTTCTTATA